GTCCTCCTCGGCCGCCTGAAGGACTTCCCTTCACTGCCTGAGAGCTGGGCCTCTGATATAACCAGGGCCCCCGCCTGCCATCCCAGCAGCTCAGGAGGCTGAGGCAGGAGGATCGCGAGTTCAAAGCCAGCCTCAGCACCGCCGAGGCACTAAGCAACTCAGTGAGACCCTGTCTCTAAGTAAAATAGACAGTAGGGCTGGGATGTGGCTCAGGGGTCGAGTGCCTCGGAGTTCAATCCCTGGTACCAAAAAGAAGAAGACATAAAAAAGAAAATGATATATATATTTTTTTTCTTTTTTAAAGAAGCACTGAGGGGCTGGGGGGTGTAGCTCAGTTGGTGGAGCGCTCGCCTCGCAGGCACAAGGCCCGGGGTTCAATCCCCAGCACCACAAAAATAAATACATAAATACATAAAATAAAGAGAAGCAAGGAGGTGACAGCTTTCCCTTCGCGGAGGTATCCCCTGGCTCCTTGGCAGAAAGAGTGGCCCGGTGTTGGCGACGGAGAGCCGGCCCAGGGGTGAGCCCGCACCGTCTCAGAAACCCGCAGCTCCCCATTAGATTTCCCCACTTTATCATATACATATTTTTGGATCTGGGGATGGGACCCAGGGGTGCTTTACCACTGAGCCACATCCCCAGCCTTTTCTATTTTCTATTTTTTAAATTTTATTTGGTGACAGGCTGGCCTCAAACTTGCTACCCTCCTGCCTCAGCCTCCCCAGTCGCTGGGTTTGCGGGTGCGTGCCATCATGCCCCTCCTCACGCATTTACTGGTTACTTCCCCACGACCTCCCTCCCTCAGAGCCCAGGCCCACCTGCCTTTGTTAAGATGGTGTGTAAGCCCCTGTGTCTCCCACCTGGAGCTTTGTTTTTGTGTGTAAGTGTTCATGAAGACTGTGTCTGCTCTTCTGTCCATCCCTTTTTTGGTTAGTTTAATTCACAGCCCTTCACTACTGCACCTAAAAGGGTAGACTGAGTTTTTTCTCCTGGACACAGGGTGGGTCTCCGTTTCACAGAGGGGACATCGAGGCTGGCAGAGTTAGCAAATAGGGACCGAGGACATGTCTGAAACGGGGCCTTGGGTTTCTGTGCCCCCGTTTCCTTTGCCCCTCATCTTCCAGGTGATGCACCTCAGGGTAGGGGCTGGGGGGATGGGAGAGGGCTGTGGAGACCTGGGTCCAGCTTCCGGGAATAAACTGAGACTTGGCCTTCAGGTTCGGGAGTCTTGGAGGCTCCTCCTGGGCTCCATTCCTTGGAGGACAGATGACTGTCCTGGCTGCGGAGGGACATCCACCGGCCCTTGCTCACCCTGTCGGCCCCTGAACACATGCAGCCCCAGCACCGTGGAAGGTGGGCCCTGGTCAGAGGCTGCCAGGCCCAGGCTGCTGGCTCGGAATCCTGTGGGGTGGGGACTGGCCAGGCGGCTCTGAGGAGGTTGAACCCCCTGGTTCTCCCTGGGCCAGCGGCTTCCTGCAGGGCTGTGTCTTAGCCCTCTGCCTGCCCCCACTGGAGCCCGTGGCCTCCTGCGCCCCAGGTATGGGGCGGAGCAGGATCTGGGGGAGACACTTGCTGTCGTGCTTGATAATGATGGTGGTAGTAAAGAATGTGTCCCCATGGGCCACTACTACTGGGGACAGCGGTTCTCAAAGGGGCCCACCATCCTGAGGGCCATTGCAACCCTTCCAGGGGTGTCCCTAAGGCCACATGATGGCCCACTATGGAGGTGCAGCCTGTAGTCCCGGGGACTCAGGAGGCTGAGGCAGGAGGGTCTCAAGTCTGAGGCCAGCTTGGGAAAATTAGCAAGAGTTTGTTTCTTTTTCTTTTTCTTTTTTTTTTTTTATATATATTTTTATATATACGGACCTTTATTTTATTCATTTATTTATATGTGGTGCTGAGGATCGAACCCAGTGCCTCACACATGCCAGGCAAGTGCTCTACCACTGAGCCACAACCTCAGCCCGAAGAGTTTGTTTCGAAATAAAAAGTAAAAAGGGCTGGGGCTGTAGCTCAGGAGTAGAGCACCTGGGTTCCATCCCTCGTCCGGTGCCTGGGGCAGGGAGACTGTCCCAGTACTGGGGATGGAACCCAGGGGTGCTGAGCTGGAGTCAGGGTTAGGGTTAGGGTGAAGTTGCCTAAGCTGGCCCTGAACCTCAGAGGGACAGGATTGCAGCTGTGTGCCACCACACCTGGCTCTCACTCATGTGTCTGCCTGGAGCTGGCCAGGCCCAGCCCTGCCCTCCCTGGGCTGTTCCCAGCATTGACCTCTGAAGTCCTCACTGGCCGCCCATCGTGTAGGGTTCTCAGGAAAATCCTCGCCCTCCGCCACAGTCTGGGGCAGAGCCCTGCGGAGACAACTGCTGGGGTGTTGGGAGGTGCCAGAGGCTTGTGCAGGCCAGGGGCGGGTCCTCAGTGTGTCCCGAGCTGTGACCCCCACCCCCAGGGCAAGGGCCTGGTGCATTCTGGGTAAGCACCCCTAGTTCCAGACGTCAACATCCCCCCAGAGAGACCTGGGCAGCACTTGGCAAAGGACAAAGACCACTCGAATCCGAAAGCCCTTGAATTCAACTTTTTTAATTATTTTTTTTCTTTTTAATGTCATGCAATAATTCACAGTCCCAAGCCCACGGTTTTCAAACAAGGTAGGAAAAAAAGGAAACAAGAAGCCAGGGAATTGTGGTGGTGGTTTTTTTTTTTTTTTTTTTTCCGTTTTGTTTTTTTCTCTTTTGTTATTTCAAGCAGGACCAAATGTCAGAAAAAAATGCTTCTTTTTCTCAATCATTAATTTTTTTTGTCCTTTTTAAAATTGTTTATTGTTATTATTTTTCTTTAGATTGACTTCTGCAGGCAGTAATAGGAGGGTTTGGTATCACCGGCAAGCACTCCTGTGTGTGGCTGAGGGAGTGTGATGTGTCCCGTCTGCGTGGGGCTCTGGGGTCGCATCTTCCTTGTGTCCTCGCCACAGCAGCCACCAGCATTCAATCACCAGGGAAAGGATTCAATTGAGATGATAAAACTCATCAATAGAAGCGATTTGTTTTCTCCCCGTTTTTCTTTTAAAAATGTTGTTGTTGTTATTATTTTTTTTTGTTTTTTTCCCGTTTTCCCCAAAGTTCTCCAAAAAGGGCTGAGTGTTTGGAATCCCTTGGCTGCGGTTGGTCTGTCTTGGCCGCCCTGGAGCCCCTGGCCGGGGGAGGTCAGGGCTGGGGGGCCGTCGATGCCCGGGAGGGTCTCTTCTGGCGGAGGGGTTTGTGGACCCCCTCG